GCTATTCTTTTTTTTAGAGACAGAGTTTTACTTTGTCGCCCTCGGTAGAGTGCCGTGGTGTTGCAGCTCACAGCAATCTCCAGTTCTTGGGCTTAGGCGATTCTCTTGCCTCAACCTCCCAAGTAGCTGGGACTACAGGCGCCCGCCACAGTGCCTGGCTATTTTTTGTTGCAGTTTTGTCGGGGCTGGGTTTGAACCCACCACCTTCAGTGCCCTACTCACTAAGCCACAGGTGCCACCCTATTCTTCTTTTTTAACTTAAAAAATTGAGCTATATTCACATAATCTAAAACTCATCATTTTAAAGTCTACCCTTCAATGGTCACTATGTTGTATAATCATCTCCACTATCTATCCTGAACATTTCCATGTCACTCCCTGAAATAAAAACCTTGAACCTTGTGCCCATTAGCAGTTCCAATTCCTCCCTACTCCTCCTGGCTTGGGACGGCTAATCTACTTTTTATCTCTATGGATTTGCCTATTCTCAACACTTCATATAAATGGAATTACATCACATGTGGCCTTTTGTGTGTGACTTTTCTTAGTATATTTTCTAAGTTCATCCCTTTTCTGTTTTTTTTTTTTTTTTCACTCCATCACCCTGGGTAGAGTGCTGTGGTGTCATCACAGCTCCCAAAAACCTTAGTCTCCTAGGCTCAAGAGATCCTCTTGCTTCAGCCTCCCAAGTAGCTGGGACTACCAGTGCCCACCACAATGCCCAGCTAGTTTTTTCTGTTTTTAGTAGAGATAGGGTCTTGCTCTTGTTCAAGTTGGTCTTGAACTCCTGAGCTTAAGTGATCCACTCTGGCTTCCCAGAGTGCTAGAATTACAGGTGTAGCCACTGTCTCCGACCTAGTCCTTCATTCCTTTTTATGGGTGGATTATATTCTACTGTATGGATATATCACATTTTATTTGCCCACCCTTGAGTTAGTTGAAGGGTTATTGTTTTTGAAGGATGCACATGCACTGACTTTAACCCTCAGCTGAATTTAATTTTTTTTTTTTTAAAGACAGAGTCCTACTTTGTCGCACTTGGTGGAGTGCCGTGGCATCACAGCTCACAGCAACCTCCAGCTCTTGGGCTCAGGCGATTCTCTTGCCTCAGCCTCTCGAGTAGCTGGGACTACAGGCTCCTGCCACAACACCCGTCTATTTTTTTTGTTGTTGTTGTTGCAGTTTGGCCGGGGCCAGGTTCAAACCCGCCGGTATATGGGACCGGCGCCCTATGTGCTGAGCCACAAGGACTGTCCTGAATTTTGAATATTTTTGATTATAAGAGTTATACATAAATAAATATGTCTCTAACTTTTAGAAAACTCAAGTTATAATTTTCATAGGGGGAGAAAAAACAAAAACAAAAAGTAAAACAACACACCTCACCAGAGAATTTCCAACAAGGCACGCTGTGTCCCCTTTCATCCTATGTTAACACCCCACAGCTAGAAGGACAGGACTAAGCGTCTGAGACATTCTTCCCCAAGATTATGGTTAAGGGATCAGACCAGAGATATGCCAGGGGAGGTGCCACTTGAACTGAGCACCAACAGATGATCCACATTCCCATGGGAGGGAAGGGAAAGGGGCTTTTGAGCAGGGGCACACGTGTAGAAGGAACCGTCTGAGGTGGGGGAGACAGGGTGTGTGGGAGAGGTGGAGATCACAGAGCAGCAGCAGGAAGGGAAATGGAGGACAGGCCCCCCAGCAGGAGCCTTGAGCATACTCTGTGCTGGCTGCCCTGTGACCACAGCCTGCATTGGGCACAGGGCAGCCACTAAAGGGCCCTTGGCACTGACCTTGAACTGGGCTTCAGGTGGCCCAGTGATGATGACCATTCGTTCGCTGACATCTGGGCCTTCTGCTGGGGCGATCTGTGGTTCCAAAGGAAAGATGGAGACGTTTGGTGATGTCTGGCTGCATTCCCCATGCCCCCATTTCTCGTCTAAGCGGATGGCACACGTGTCCAAGAGCTTCTTAAGGCCCGCTTCTGCTTTGGCACTGGTGACCTGACACCACACTGCCTCCACCCTGAGTCTTAGGAAGTCATGACCATAATCTCCAGTTTCTTTTGACCGAGAGAGTCAGAAGCAGGTCAGTAGTTCTTGCCTATAACTGCCATTAAGTACCAGCAGGACTCCTTTCACCAAGACAAGTCTTAGGAAATAAGCAGGGAGTCAACAGCTCTATGAAGAGAGCAAGGTACAGGCTCCTCCAACCTTCCCGGGGCCCAGCGGGAAGGAAGGGCTAGTCCGCAAGGGTGTTAAGTTGGAGTCTAGCTTGCAGGAAAGGTAACCCTGGTTCTGGTGATAAGTGACAAGTGAGTTAGAGCAGGAGTGGCTAGCACAGCCTCCTCCATGGCAAATGGGTCATAAGTACGACAGCATCAGAGGAGGAGTGAGGCACTTTGGTTCTAGTCCTGACTGCAAATCCTTCCCCTCCCTGGGCCTCCAACCCCTCATCTGTGAAGCATGGAGTCTAGACCCAGCAGGCTCCAAACCTCCTTCTCAACCTCACTTTCTGAGTCTGAGTTCTTTCATAACATAATCCAAACAAAGGCCTGAGCAAACTTTTTTATTTTTTGAGACAAGAGTCTCACTCTGTTGCCCAGGCTAGACTATCTTGGTGTCAGCCTAGCTTATAGCAACCTCAAACTCCTGGGTTTAAGTGATTCTCCTGCTTCAGCCTCCAAAGTAGTTGGGACTATAGGTGCCTGCCACAACACTCGGCTAGCTTTTCTATTTTTTTTTTTTTTTTTGCAGTTTTTGGCTGGGGCTGGGTTTGAACCTGTCACCTCCAGCTTATGGGGCTGGCGCCTTACTCCTTTGTTCCACAGTGCTGCCCTAGCTTTTCTATATTCAGTAGAGACTGTGTCTCCCTCTCTCTCAGGCTGGTGTCCTCAGTTCAAATAATCCTCCCACCTCGGCCTCCCAGAGTGCCGGCATTACAGGCCTGAGCCACTGTGTGTGGCCCCAAGCAAACATTTGTTTTTTTCATAGAGAGCCTTATTAAATATTTGTTTCTGCACACCCTGCCTCATTTCAGAAAACTTCAAGGTAGCTTTAAAAAGAAATGCAAAATTAAAGCCTAATTAGCAAATTATGGCAAAATTAGACTTAATTAAAAGTAAAATAACTTAAAAGCATAAGAGGTGGGCCACATTCTGTTCTTAGCTTTCTAAGAGTAAATACAAAAAAGAGAACACTGTCAATTCCAGGGTCACAGTGTTCCAAGGCAAAACAAAACCAGTGGCTCAGAGGAGGTGACACTCCCGAGACAAAGTGTTAAGAAAGAAATCTGTTTACCATGGACTGGAACGGCCCTCAGTGCTACATGTATGCACATGCCGTGTCTGGGTCACTGAATCTTGCCCTGGGGCTCCTCTGGGAAGACCTCCGCCTCCGCTGGGTTTAATTTTATCTTCTCTCAATATGTGCTGTAAGCCACATCCCACCTATGGGCCTCAGGGGCCAGTGTTACTGTCCGAGCATTATTCTGAATATATAGCCCAGGCTTGGTCTAACCTCTGCCCCACTGCGAACTTGGGACTCCTTCATAAGACCTGTGAAGACTTTTTCAGCCCGATTACTTAGTGGCATGGGATAAATGTGAGACACCGGTGACCAGCAACTGTGGTTCTTGGGGGATGTCCCTTTGCTGTAGGCAGTGGCCTTGGGTAATAAACACAGATCTCAATGTGTTCTGGGGACTGAGACTGTTGGCAGGAGCCCCTGCCTCTACTTCGAGACCCACAGCTAATGTGAAACCTGGTCCTTAATGTCAAGAAGTTGGAGAGGATCACAGCCTTGGTGGTTCCCGGCTCTTACCACCACCCAAACTGAGACGGGCGAAAGGCTGATACCTACTGCACATCAACCAAATCAGTTCTGCCACTGCTGTCAATCCTAGTGATTTGTGTCTGGCTTTGCTCAGATTCTGAGAGGAACCTCTGATTACTCTACTGTTCAGCATTTACCAGCCTAGACAGAAGTCAGAGAGCTACTCATGTGCTCCTACGGTTCTGAACAGCATTCCACAGGTACATTTCCTCTGGAGGGGCAGGAATAAGGACCCCATTTGATGACTGAAGCAAACGGGATCAAGAAGAGAGATGACCGCCAAGATCACAGGGCACGCAGGGTTAGTATAAGGATCAGTGACGGGGTGTCCCTGATTGACAATGGACTGAATTCTGGGCAGCATTCAGAAGCCTGCTGACCACAAGTTCTGTAGGGAAGGCAGGCAACAGGAGTGCAACTCTGACCTATGACCACAGCACCTCCTGGAATGCGTCTTCCAGATCTCAGCTCAGCCCATCCCCTCCCCACGCTCTACTCCAACAGTCAAGTTCAAAGCTCTCCTAGCAGCACCAAATGTGCCCCTGGATGACTGGCACCACAGTAACTGGGAGGTGGTGGTATGGATCAGATTTCTGGAATTAGTAAGATTATGCTTCTTGCTTTAGAGATGGATGCTTTCAGAGACTTGTCCAGATAAAGAGAACCCAGCAGAAACCAGACTGACTTTAAAAAGCAGAAGTATCTTTCTCGAACATTAGGCTTCCCTACTTTACCTTCCTCTTCTTTAATGGAGAGAGGCAGAAGCTGGAGAAGAAGATTGTTGGAGAAGAAGGTTGTTGACCCAGCATACAAAACAACATTTGGTGGCCAGGTGCAGTGGCCTGTAATCCCATCACTTTGGGAGGCCAAGGTGAGAGATCATTTGAGGCCAGGAGTTTGAGAGGATTACTTGAGGTCAGGAGTTCGAGACAGAGAAACCTTGTCTCTATAAAATATAGAAAAATTAGCCTGGAGCCATGGCGTGCACCTGTAATGCCAGGTATTTGTGGGGCTGAGATAGGAGGATTGTTTAAGCTGCAAGTTCGATGCTGCGTGCAGTGAGCTGTGATTGGGCCACTGCACTACAGCCTGGGTGACAGTGAGACCCAGTCTGTCCTCCTGGTGTAGCCCTGCTATGTCTGTACCTCACAGCAGCCAGGAGCAAAGTGACAATGGCCACTACTCAACCTTGTTTGGACTTGTGACTGTGGGAATGCTGGGGATTGAAGCCTGGGGGACTAATACCTCTCTGTTTCCCATTTTCCTAAAGGCCCGGCTGGGAATGACTATGGCACAGCAGTCAGGTACTATGGGGGGAAAAGCATTAGACCAGAAGTAGGATAGCCTGGGCAAATCTTGGCTCTCTTTTTAGTTTTGAGGCCATAGATGAGTCATTTAAACTCTATGGGCCCCGAATGCTCACAGACAATAGTAAAAAGTTATGGCTGCAGGTAGCCCCAGGAGGTGCTTAACGTCAGCTGGATTTCTTTTTTGGCCGGGGCTGGGTTTGAACTCGCCACCTCCGATATATGGGGCTGGCGCCCTACTCCTTTGAGCCACAGGTGCCACCCAAGGTCAGCTGGATTTCTAAGAGCCTGTCCTGCCACACGTGTCCTTGACCACACGTCTGCATTCTCTGGGCCTCACTTTCAGCTGACCAAAAGGGGGATTTGATGCAATGATCCCTCAAGTGCCTTTTATGTGAAATCATCGTACTCCACTTCCTGTATGGCATCTCAGACTGCAGGACTGAGTCCTGGGAGAGGCCCGAGGGCCACAGTCGGCCCAGCAGCCAGGGTCTCATCTGAAGCAAGCCTGCTGGCTGTGAAGGTTCCCACATGCCCCACCACTGCCACCTCTCTGCAGGTGTATTAAATGACAGAGTGGGAAGAAGTTCACTAAAATCAAATTCTCCCTGCAACCCTTGCTCTCTACTGTTCAGAATGTTTTGTTTTTCCTCCAGCACACTTGCTGTGGGAGAAATTCCAGCTCTTCCTGGGGAGAAAGTGTAAGCATTCTTTTTCTCCAAGTCATGAGACTTTTTGTTCGGAATTCCGGGTTGTCCCATGGCAGCAAATTATTTTGTGCAACAACGGAAACTCTGTTTCCGAAAGTGTTTCATGAGGCTTGGGACGCGCTCAGCATTCTGCCTGTGAGTCAGGGCTGATAGCTGGGCTTGGAGCAGGACCAGGGGTGAATAATCCTCCCCTTTCAGCTTCTCTGACGACGCTTCAAATTGTGCTCCACAAGCAGGATGTGGGTCTGTCACTACGGCTGCATCTGCACTCACAGCCGTTTCCATAAGTCAAGGGGCCTTCCTTCCTGAGCCTCCCCGCATAGGCCACAGGGCTTCTCTGCCGGCTACGGCATTAGCTTTTGTTATCTAGGATTTTATCATGGCTTTTAAAATAATGTTTTATTCAAATTATGTTCTAAAAGTCCGAAGATTTTTGAAACGGAGACTAAGTATAAATTAGTACTCCACTTTAAGTGTATTCCCTTAGCTTGGGAAATATGCTTGAGCTTTTTTTGTTTTATCTTCTTGAGAAGTGGAGGACAATGATAATCCAAGAAGGAGTGCATGGGTTGTCAGTAATATTTTTTCTTTTTTTTTTTCCCTTTCTATTTTTTTGAGAGAGGGTCTTGGTCTATTAGCCAGGCTAGAGTGCAATAGTGTCACTATTACTTACTGCCACTTCTAATTCCTAGGCTCAAGCCATCTTCTTGCTTCAGCCTCCTGAGTGGCTGGGACTTCAGGCTTGCACCACCTACTCAGCTGATTTTTTTTTTTTTTTATAGTGCTAGGGTCTCACTACGTTGCTCAGGCTAGTTTGTAACTTTTGAGCTCAAGTGACCCCCTCAAAGTGCTAGGACTATAGGTGTGAGTTGTCACACGTATCCTTTGCTCTAATTCAGTGATTAGTTGAACAGAAAAGGAATAAAAGAAGGAAAAATGAGAGCAGATCAGAATAGTCCTAAAGTTGAATTTCTTAGATCCGTGGGACTCTGACTCTGGATGGTGTAGGAGTTGCCTGGGACTGAGAGAAGGAACAAGGACAGGGGTAAGGGTACAGTGCAGACCAGGGCTGTAGGCAGCTGCTGGGTCAGGCTTACCTTGATGGAGGCTCCCGCGAATCTTGCCAGCTGTTTGATGTGCGCCCCTTTCTTCCCAATGATGGCACCAACAGCCTGGGTTGGGATGAATAGATTCACGATCTCCTGCTCTGGATACTGGGAGGGCAGGATGAGAAGACATCATTCCCATTGGGGCTTCTCCTTCGTGCACTTAACAGTGAGTTAAGCCCCTACTACGAGCCCCATGGTGTGTGGGATTCCCCTGGGGCCTAGGGCTCTGCAGGGGTGAAGCTCGAGGCGCGCGCCTGAACATAGGCAGTGCGACATGACAAAGCACAAACTCCTCTGAGCATCAGAATTTGTTGGAAGCTGTCTGTTAGCACAGGTTTTCCGTCCTACACAAATCTGGTATGTATTTCTTCTGTGGGTTTATCCAAAAATCAAAATATTATTGAACACATCTGGCCTTAGGACAGCATCCTGAGGAACTTTCTTGGAGGGAACAGAAAGCTGCCCTGCCCACCATGTAGCCAGGAGCAGCGGCTTCACAAGGCAACTGAACCTGCCCTGACCAGGGAGGCGGGCAAGTCACCTCTCTGGGACCTTGCAAGGAAAGGGAGGGGCTTCCTGGGCAAGGCGGCCAGTGCTCCCTGCTATGGGGGTCTGTGGGAACAACACGGCTCCATCTGCTGGACTTTGCTCAAAGTCTTTGGGAACTCTGTCATTTAGCTCAACATTGCCTCCCCATCAGTGCTCTCTTGCACTGGTTTCTTACAGCTCATGAGATATGGAAGCAGCAGTGGGACTGTTTGGCAGGAACAGCAGGAAGCTCCAGTAGACCTGTGTGCTGAGTGGTTTGTATGCTTATACTCTGAGATGTCACATGCTCAGGACAACCCAAAACCTACACCAGGAACACTCACTGGTCAGTCCCTTATGGGCCATGTGGGGCCAGCCACAGGAGAGAGAGAAGTGGCAGATGGAGCTGAACTGGGAAACACTTACAGAGTGATGATGTGGGAACGGGCTGAACTGGTGATGGGGGTACAGGCTGGAGAAGTATCCGGAGTGGGTCTGTGGCATGAGAGAAACAGTAAGTGAGTAGTGCCCTTCATACTCACAAAGGCAAGATTTCTCGCATGCAGCAATGCTGTCTGTGCCGTGAGCTGACTTCACTATTGTGTCTACAGATTCTGCTCCATGTCCCTCCTCAGGCCACTGAATGCTGGCAAGATGGAAGCTTGTTGCAGTAGCCCTCTAGGCTGACTGTTTCTTTTCTTTTTTTTTTTGGAGACAAAGCCTCAAGCTGTCACTCTGAGTGCAGTACTGTGGCATCACAGCAACCTCTAACTCCTGGGCTGAAGTGATTCTCTCGCCTCCGCCTCCCAAGTAGCTGGGACTATAGGCGCCCACCACAAGCCTGGCTGTTTTTTGGTTACCGCCATCATTGTTTGGTGGGCCTGGGCTGGATTTGAACCTGCCAGCTCAGGTGTATGTGGCTGGTGCCTTAACTGCTTGAGCTACAGATGCTGAGCCTGTTTATCTATTTCTAAATTGAGCCATGCCTGCGGCTTCCTAGGAGGTCACCATGGGAGTAGTGCCATGTGTGCAGACACATCCACCCACGCACACACTCTTTTAACCTGTCCTCAGATGCAGAGGCAGAGCCAGGGGGTTCTATTTTCTGGAGAATTATGAATCATAAATTAAAAGGAATAGAGAATGCTGGGATAATACCCAGGAGTTACTCAGAACAAGAAACTCTGCTCCTGGGGAGAAAGTTCTGAGAATTTCAGAAGGAATGGAGAGATGGGAAATGGAGAAATACTAAAAAGAGACTGAAAAAAAAAAAAGAAAAAAAAGGCTCGGCACCTGTGGCTCAAGCAGCTGGCGCCCTACTCCTTTGAATCACAGGCACTGCCCAGGAAAATCAAAATTTAAAAAGTAGATGCTTTTTACTGAATATCTTTTGTGTACTAGGAAGTATTTAAGATACTTTATGTATATTTGCAAACTCTTTCATTCCTCATACTGGTCCTGTAAGACAGGAGTATGGCTAACTTTATGTATTCCTATGAATAGGATGTGGACCAGAGCAGGAAAAGCCTAGGTTTAACTGTGCTTTACAAGAGGTCAAGTCAACACCGTCCTAACTATGACAGGAAGGGTGCCACAGAACCTATCCCTGCAGGCCTGCCCTGCAAGATAGCACGCTCAGGAAGACGGTCCCAACCGTGGTCAGTCATGCAGTTAGAAGATCTAGCTTTTTTTTTTTTTGAGACAGAGCCTCAAGCTGTCCCCCTAGGTAGAGTGCCATGGCATTACAGCTCACAGCAACCTCCAACTCCTGGGCTCAAGCGAGTCTCCTGCCTCCGCCTCCCAAGTAGCTGGGACCACAGGCACCCGCCACAACGCCGGGCTATTTTTTGGTTGCAGCCGTCATTGTTGTTTGGCGGGTCCAGGCTAGGGATTCGAACCCGCCACCTTAGGTGTACGTGGCTGGCGCCTTAGCCGGTTGAGCTATAGGCGCCGAGCCTAGAAGATCTAGCTTTCACTTGAGGGCCGCTGAGCAAATCTCACAGAGACATGCACGTCCTCTGTCTCCTCAATCTCCAACTGGACTCAGCCGCACATTAGGACTTCACTTTACGACTCATTAGTGAAAAAATGAAATTGTTCCCTTTCTGAGCTTGGAGAGAGAAATCAGAGATGAGAATGTGGTGAGGAGCTGTCCAGGGGTGCTCTAGGTACCAGGTGCACCTGCAAGGACAGAGCTCTGTTTATCCAGGGGAATCATGGCTCCAGGGCAAGTTTGGCTTTGACTTGGAAAGAGGCTGCATGCAGTAATGCCTTATACCCACAAGTGGGTGCTGTGAGACCAGCAGTCTTGCAACCTACAGTTTTCAAGCAAGGTGGGTGAAGAAGTTTCTTTCCCTTGGCCCTGACTTTCTTGAGGACTCCCTGGAAAGAACATCAGCTCCAGACCATTCAGATCCCTGTCCTGGGCCATGGATACTGGGAGGAGAATTCCGGCAAATTTTCCTGCTCAGAGAAAGCTCCACCCTGGGGAAAGGGAGATTCTGCCTTCCTCTCGGAGAGTCAGTCCTCCAGCACTTATAGCAGACATTAATTCTTTTAAATTGTGATTTTCCTTTTCCTTACAAAACTCACGTGAAACCAAAAATAGACAAGCCACTGAGTGGCTCCTATTCTGGGTTCAAATACTCCTAATATAAACACTGTCAAATTTAGACTTACCAGTTGGGGTAAGGGAGAGATTTTTTAATTAGCTGTAAAAGGATAAATTTCCTTTTTATTCATGAGTCACAGCTGGAAATTTGTCATAGGGAAAGAATCTTGAACTCGCAATCAGGAGCTAGTTCTAGCTCTGGCTCTGCTGTAAGCCTTTGTGTACAAAAGTTGGTGTTTAGAGTCAGAAGACTTGAGTCTGAATCACTAGGGCTCTATAGGTTGCAATAGTTTATTTACCCTTTCTGAGCCTCATCCAGAAAAAGACTCAAATAATACCTGGCTCCAACAGTACTGTTGTGAGGGTTCATTCACTCAAAAGGTATCTGAGTACCTACTATGTGGGAGACACTGTGCCTAGAGCTGAGAACATAGTTACTAAAACAGAGAAGGTCACTGACACCATGAACTTGTGTTCTACTGAGGGAGCAGAACAAAGACACAACTTCAGGAGTGTTATGAAACATGACCAGTAAGATGCAAAGAGGACAGCTGTGGAGACCAGTGGTCTGGGAAGGCTCCTGGAGTCGACATCCAAGGCACTGGGAGGGGACTTGAGGAGCTGGAGCTACATCCAAGGCACTGGGAGGGGACACTCTAAGCAGGGTTCTTAGAGGCCCAGACGTGGAAAAAGGGGTCGGTCTATTTGAAAAATAGAAAGGAGGCCAGTATAGTGAAAGTCGAAAAGAGGGCACAGCAGGCAGCTGACACAGGAGCACCAGGGGCCTTGTGAGCCGAGGCTCAGACATAGATTTTGACTCTAAGTATAGTGATGCTTAGATGAAGGGTGCTATGTGGTATTCAACAGGGCCATAGGAATTAAAGAATATCACTAGGCCTTGCATGGGCTGGACTAATGAATGTTAAATGATTACTTATTTATAATGAAATGTGTCTTATCAGAGTATACGTTCTCTTTTCCATCTCTACCCCCCAGCTTAGGTGGCATCTACAGCCTCGAAATGGAAGGGTGCTTTCAAAACTTGCATATTTATTGCCTCGGTGTCTGTAGCTCAGTGGTTAGGGTGCTAGCCACATGCACTGGGGCTGGTGGGTTCAAACCTGGCCAGGGCTTGCCAAAACAACAATGACAACTACAACCAAAAAACAGCCAGGCATTGTGGTGGGGACCTGTAGTCCCAAGTACTTAGGAGGCTGAGGCAAGAGAATCACCTAAGCCCAAGAGTTTGAGCTTACTGTTAGTTGTGGTGCCATAGCACTCTACCAAGGGTGGCAGAGCAAGATTCTGTCTCAAAAAAATAAAATAAAATAAAATAAAACTTGCATATATAAATGCATTGATATATAAAACTTGCATTGATAAATGTAATGATCATACAAAGGAACCTAGTGATGACTCGAAGGGATATCCTCTTTAATGGGAAAGCAGGTTGTAGTCATCTGACATCTGGTCCAAGGCCCCTAGGCACAATGTGGATGTTGGGCTCACTGTGCCAGTTTAAAAGTCCTGGCTGTTTCATGATGCAGAAACTACTTCGCTTTTTAGTGTTTCAAAAGAATTTTGACAATGGGGAAGGGGAAAGGTGGTGTCATGGTGAAGATGCTCCTGCCAACAGAGGGCTGGTGGCAGGAGGTCAGTATTATCCATGGGTTCATCTTAAATTCTCACTTAGAGGGACACTGGTGTCTGCTTTCCCTCTAAATCTGACTCTGCAGGAGGTGGGGGTGTGTGGAGGAGTATATATCAAACACACTTGTGAAAACTAAAAAGGGAGTTATCAACAGCTGGGCCTGCTTTTTCTGGGAGAATTGCAAAATCTAAGCTATTCTGTGTGACCATGTGATGTGTATTTAGGTGATATTCTGAAGAAGAAATCAAGGGGTGGAGAGAGGGCAGGGTGGGAAAGGGGTAGTGGAGGGTAAAAGCCAAGCATAGGAATTGTGTTCAGACACTCGAGTAGCTTTAGGGTGAGGACAGAGTGACCAGGCTGCACAGATGGGCAGTGCTCCCTCTGGGGACCAGGAACATAGCCTGGAGAAGGGGTGAGAACCTAGTAAGAGAGGTCAGTGTAATGGACACAGCCATCCAAGACTCAGCGTGCACATTGTTCCACCCCTAGCTTGTCCAAGTGCCTCCCCACAAGACATCTTGCATGTTTTCACAGGACAACCTTGGAGGCTGATGGGAGCTAGAAATGGGGAAGCCAGCAAGTGGCAGAGCCAGGATACTAACACAGATCTCTGTGTCTCACTCTGGTCCAAGAGCTTGCCCACTACACTCAACACCACGCTCACCTTCAATGTTCTGGATTTACTGATTCAGGTGGGATCTGGGAAGCATGCTATGGGAAGATTGTGAAAAAGTTCTCCTAAGCCAGTGGTTCTCAACCTTCCTAATGCTGTGACCCTTTAATACAGTTCTTGTGGGTTGCGACCCACAGGTTGAGAACTGCTGCCCTAAGGACTCTAATAGGCCTCCTGCTGAGTTTATGTGAACATATAAATGAATAATTACAATTCATTAGACATATATAAAAACCAGCAGCATGAATGAGAGAGCAAGAGTGGGCAAGGCAAGCAAATGACCTCAGTGAGTTAATCCAGGAAAGAAGGGGGAGCTCTGTAAAAAATTCTGATTTGGGCTTGGAGCCTGTAGCTCATTGAACAGGGAGCCAGCCACATACACTGGAGCTGGCAGGTTCAAACCCAGCCCGGGCCTGCTAAAACAACAATAACATCTGCCAACAAAAAATAGCTGGGTCTTGTGGCGGGTGCCTGTAGTCTCAGCTACTTGGGAGGCTGAGGCAAGACAATCGCTTAAGCCCAAGAGTGACATAGTGAGACCATCTCAAAAAAAAAAAAAA